TTCGAAGATTTACCTGTTCAACGACGTCTTGTGTGAGTTCTCCAAGCAATGCACGCATGGTTCGAGGACTCAGCTCCGTCATTGGTTCGTAACGACTGTTACTGCTCTGATTTTTTCCATCTGTTCGTGGAGAGGCATGTTGCTCCTCATATCGCTCGATTACAGACTGGATTTCTCCCTGACTTGCTCCTTCCTTGTCGGATCTCTGAGGCATATTGTTTCACGTTTTGCACTTTTAACACTTAACACGACGGTCCCACTGGGCGTGCCAAATTGTTTTGCGCGTGTTAATTCGCTAACAATTAAAGAGGATCAGACGATTGTGTAAGGGACGAAACCTCTTGAGACAAAGTCCCAAAAAGGGGTGTTCTTTTTATTGGCGATGAACTTTACAATTGGAAACGGAAAACAACGTGCCTCCAAGGGGCGCAAGCACACGAGTTACAGAAAAGGAAGTGTTTAAGTCTAAAAGCTAAAGGAATGAAAATTACATATTCTCTGTTCGAGAGTTTTGGATTCGGTCCTTTGCTTCTATGTTCTTTCTCCCTTTTATACTTCATAGGCGATCCCTTTGTGATTAGCTGCTCTAAAAAACTGCTTGATCGCCCTATAACTACCCACTTTTTTTGTAGTGGCCATTTTGTCATGAAACTGTCCTTTTAACTGCTGCCATTATCTTGCATCGTTCAACCGCTTTCGATTGAACCCCTTGAGTCGTGGAACGTGATAAGGCTACTTTAGCAACTGCCTCAATAACTGCATTTCTTGATAATCATAATGCGTTATGTTTGTTGATACCTTGGGCGACTTGAAGATTTGGGCGAGACTCTGGGCGACCGTATGCCACTTTATTCGTTCAGATTCTGAGCGACTTGCAAACTTGGGCGATGGCGTTACCGCACTATTGGGCCCCTTATTTGGGCCTTCACCTTGATTCGTTCAATTGGATTTCGTTCTTTGGGCTATCTGATTTGGAGATCCTCCAATTGGGCTTTACTCTCTGGGCTGTTCGATTTGGGCTGAATTTTTATGTGTCAACAATACGACTTTCATGAACGAATGACGTCGAGACTTGAACGATAGGTGACATTAAAATGAGAGATCCGATTTTACTAAGAATATTTTTTTCCTAGTCTTCAACTCAAGATAAGAGCGTTTTACAGTTCTTCTGTGGACTGCCCAAAAAAATCTGTCGCACAAATAAAATAAAAAATGTATTTCATGCGATGTAACAAGGACACCAAGTTGTACAGGGAAAAACATACATTGTACAGAGAATTAGAGATCCATCTAAATTCAGAGGCTCAATTGAATTGCCGACTCAACAAAATTTATATATTTTTTTACACAAATTTAAATTTGATTTTATTTTTTGTTTTTACTTTAAGAAAATAAAGATACCAACATGACTTATTGGGTTGTAAATAAAATCTATTGAAAATCAATAGCATGCAATGGATATACCCGACAAATTAAGCTCCGTATGGTGGGGATTAAAGTCAAATTTTTAATAGATTTTGATAAAAATTGATGAACTATATAGTTAAAAAGTTATGAATACCATAAAATATATTATTAAAATTAATTATAAATTTTGATTTAGATTAAAATTAAAATTTTAATTTTTACGGCTAAAAGCCTTTCAATTTGCATATCAGTGTCACGTCTATTGTAATTCGTGTCACTATTCTTGATATTTTTTAATTTGGAAAATAAAAGGCTGCCAGTTGGAAACCAACAATTAATTGATTGCTATAAAAAAAATTAAAATAGTGAAAATGGTTCAAAAGGACAAGAATTTACTATCAGTTCACGATTCAGTCAGGCGTGGAAAGCGAGTTGTACGGAACGCTCGTGTTGTCGGCCGTCATCTGACATAGTCCAACCTTTTTGGCTTGTTCGCAAAATTTAAAACCTACTCATAGGTCTCAATCTAATAAGCCTATGTTTTTGAGGCACAGATGGCAGTGGGAACGTGCAATGAGTAGATAATGGTGGCGATTTTTTGGATAGTGGTATTTGTCACGTCTCTTTCTCTGAGGTTCTAAGAGTGGCCGTGTGACAATCAAATAATGAGCGAATTCAAATCCACACTACACATCATCTTACCTACGTAACAAAATTTGTCAAACCACCATGAAGAGATCGAACCTTCATGAAGAGCCTAATCCTCATGGACGAGGCGAGATACCATAGGAATTTTTCGTACAAAATCTTCTATAATTGATTGATATGATCATTCATTGCAATAGTCACTTTACCAAGTCAAATTATCAAATTTAGTTCTCACATGTCAGACCTAGCCCATAGGGCTACAAATGTTCGGGAACACTAAATGCACCTGAACATAGAATTGCCAAAGTGACAAGGTGCTTTGGTCATTAAATTCACCTTTTCTATAGTGATGTTGAGCCAAGTCCCCTATTGAATTCTCAAATACAATAGTTGACTCGCTTGCTACCTCTTACACCCTTCCTATATAAGTTTTAACAATGAGGAAGATGTTGATGTTGGGAATTGGCCGACTTATTGGTAAGCTCTCATTTATTTCTTTTATTTTCGTACTTATGTGTATTTTCACTTATAATTCTTTGTGCCTAATCAGCTTTGTTTTGTGCATGCAAGCATGAACTTCAACTTGGAGGAAGTTTTGAGGTAACTACCTAAGCCTAAGCCAGAGAGCGATGAGGGCTTGACTCGAACACCCCCAAAACAGAGAAAAGTTGCTAGCAATGGAAAAGAAAAGAGCACTAATAGGAGATCTTCATAGCCATTAGATGAGCCCATGGAAGTCATCCCATTGTTTGAAGTTGGAGAAGATGGCTCTAGTTGTGATGAGATTAAGCTTGAAAGCGAAAGTTCTCCTCTTCCGGATCTTATGTTTCCTCTAACTAGGAGTGAGATGGAAGTTGATATGGTCATTGTTTTCACTATGCCTGATTATGCTAGAACTTTGGCTAGGTGCAAAGTGGATGATGTTGAGCTGGTCCTTATGGTCCACAATAGAAGGGTATTCTTCTTGCTCTACTTTTTCGTTTTTGTTTAAGTTCACACCTAGGGGTGGCAATCGGGCTCGTGCAACTCGGATCGCCGGTGACTCGACCTAAAAAAAGCTGCTGGCTTGTGAGGCTCGTCGGCTCAAGCTCACAAACTTAATTTAAAAAAAATGGTTTAAAGGAAACAACACACTGCCTAAAATAGGCAGCGTGTTGTTTCCTGTTGCCTTGTTTTAGGTAGTAACAAGTGTTGCGGCTGCCTTTTTTTAAGTAGTTGAGTGTGCCTTTATTAAAAAAAAAATTCGAGCTAGCCTATCTTGGCTTGGTAAGGCCCGAGCCTTGATTTCTTGCTCGGCTCGGCTCGAGCCCGTAAAAAAACTCTGACCATTTTGCTCGAGTCGAGCTCGAGCTCGAGCTCGAGCCCCGAATTTTGGTTTCGAGCTAGTTAGGCTTGTTGACACCACTATTCAAACCTTTGAGTTTCCCTGATAATTATATTCTACTTTACCTTTTTGCCTAACAGGTTTTGACCATGCAAGCTTCATTTATCTGGGCAAAGTCACTTTCTAACGATAGAGTTGAAGGTTCTCGAAGAGGACAAGAACAAGGAAGTAAGCAACTTCAAGAAGAAAAATTCAGCCTTGGAGAAGTCTCTCAATGCTTAGGAAGCTTGTAATAAAGAGATGGAGTTTATAATCAATGAGCAAAAGTCTAGAGTCAGCGATCAAGAAAAAGAGATTGATAACTTGTACTCTTCTCAAGCTCGTGCTCAAATTGATACAGTAGAGCGATACAAGGCTTCTTCATTGTACTTTAGGGACATGAATGCATACATGACAAAAATGATGGCTGCATCTATCGCTCTTACAAAGGAATGGGTGGGTTCTTAGCATTTGCCCATTAATCTTTTCGACTAGAGAAAAGGAAAAGGTAGCGAAACATTGGATACACAAGTGCACCATGAAGAGAGGATGAAGTGACCTCACACCTCAAGTGATCTAGTTTTCCATTATTTACTGGCATTTTTCATTGTTATTTCTTTTTGTTATTCGATTGCTTAGCAATTTTTCTTTATCTAGGATCTAGACATGATATCATATTTTGCATCTATTATGGTTGACATTTTTCTTAGAAAATTATTATTGTTTGACATGCATTCGATTTTCTTCCATTTTTTTTATTTGGCTAGACGACCCATCGCATTCGCATACAATAATTATTGACAAAGATATCGATTTTAGGAAGTTTACTCTTTGTACCTTTCTTTTGTTTGCCCGCCTTTCAATGTCGAATGACGTGCACATGGTTGATGACATAGTATTTGACTGCTAATCATTATATCGCATAGCAGTCATTCATCAATCGTTATGCGGTCAACCGTCGACCACTATACAGTGACGTGACTTCAATTAGTAAATTTCAGTTCCCTATTTCAATTTGAAGATTCTTGAAACTTAACCAATTTTTGATTTTATTATGCACTGCCTGGTCTCTCGAACAATTTTGATGTGTTAAGAATGATTCTAGTGGTTTTGAGCATTACCAAGTTTTTGGTTTTGTTGCTCACCACTACGACCATAGGGCGATTTTGAAGTACTGGGAGCAATCCTAGTGATTTCGAGCCCTAACCTTTTATTTTTTATTTTTTTGAAAGCTAACTATTAAGACCGTGATACTATTTTTGAACTTATAATCCATTTTTTATTTTGTTGTTCATCCCCTAGCCCTTTGACGACTTTGAAGTACTTGATGCAATTCAAGTGATTTTGAACCCTTAACCAATTTTATTTTTTATTATTATTTTTTTTTGAAGGCTCATCCTTAGGACAGTGAGGCAATTTTGAGCTTATAACTAGTTTTTGATTTTATTGCTCACTGCCCAGCCCTTTACAACTTTGAAGTGTTGGGTGCGATTCTAATGATTTTGAGTCTTAACCAATTTTTTGGTCTTGAAGGCTCACCCTTGGTATTGTGAGGCAATTTTGAGCTTATAACTATTTTTTTTTTTTTTTGTTGTTCATGCTAGATCCTTGACGACTTTGAAGTTTGGGAGAAGCTTGAAGCATGTGATTTAATCGATTGTAGATCAAGTTCATACGTTAACATAAAACTTGCCTAGAATGGGGACTCATTAGGTGCACCAGTACATCCCAACTAGGCTGGCTCTTCCTTAACGTCTTCATCATCTAGAACTTTCATTGAATAGTACCAGTAATTACGTTAGGATATATGCCCATAGCAAGCATTACATTAGGGAGATTGATAGATATCCTAGGAACTATATTTAGATGGGAAATAAAGAGACATCACACAACCTCTTAGATGTTTAGCATTCCATGACCTGCCTAGCGAGTTTTCTTTCAAATCTTTGAGACTATAAGCTCCATTTCCAAGGTTGCAAATTACTTTCGCGTGGTTCTTCCTAATTTGGCCCAAGCTTAGACAGAGGGTGCCCTGCTGCTGTTGCCTTTACCTTTCTTATTACAAGATCTTTGGGATGAAAAACTTTTGGCCTAACCCTTCAAATTAAAATGTTCAGCCCCTTTTGTTTATAAGTTGTCGTTTTCACAGCTATTCTCTCTCTTATCTCCTCAAGGAGGTCGAGTTCTAGATTTTTAGCCACGACGTTGAGTGGTTTGACCTTCATCCTATCTATTTCATTCAAGATTTTTACAAGAACAACGAGCTCCATTTTGAAAGACAATTTGAAAGGTTTTTCGATTCCTGAGGAGTCATGCCCCCATTCTTTCTCCAATCTTATTTTCAAATTCCATAGTATTGTCCATTTTGTTACTTTTGCTTGCCATTTGACTAAGGTTGAGCGATGGAGGTAACATTCTTCCATAAAAAACTCTACACTTTAACCATCATGATTGTGACTAGTGATTCAGCCTCTACCCATTTGGTAAAGTATTCAATGGCGACCAGCAAAAAATTTCTCTACCCTGTAGCTACAAGCAAAGGCCCCAAAATATCCATTTTGCACTAGAAGAATGGACAGACTCCAAATTGTTGTTCGGTATGCATGTGAATCAAATTTCTATGATGTTGATAGACATCACATTTTTTCACTAACTCCCTAGCACGTTTCTTCATAGTAGGCCAATAATGTACCTGTCACAGAGCCTTGAAATCGAGGGTTGTCACTCCTTGATGATTTTCACATATTCCCAAATATATCTCGAGTAACACTTCTTGTGCCTCTACTGGATGTAGGCATTTCAAATATGGTACAACAAAATTTCGCTTGTAAAGTTGGCATCAACAATAGTAGACAAGGCTGCTCAAATTCTAAGCTTTTTTGCTTCAAAAATATCTTCTGATACTTTGTCCTATACGAGATAGTTGATTAATGGATTCATCCAACTTTTTTCGTGCTCTATATGTACAATGTCGATCACAAATAAATACTCAAGTTTCGCGGAACCATTTTATTGTTTTTTGTTTCAAACTCCTATGTTGCATACCTAACTATTTCAAACTCCTATGTTGCATACCTAACTATCAACTAAGAGTCACTATAAATTTTGACTGAGGTCATCCCCAATCTGCTTGCTAAGATTAGGCTGGTGACCATTGTCTCATATTTAGCTTCATTGTTTGTCACTAAAAATTCAAAATGCAAAGAATGCTCCAACTTCTCAGATTCTGGACCTATCATAATGATGCATGCTTTGAACCCTTCACCCTCGAAGATTCGTACACAAAAATTTTTCAATCTGCTTCTTATCTTGCAGAAAGTTTCGCATCGATGTAAAATCTTCTTAAGAAGTTGGTCGATCATGATATGTATCGCATGAACTTAACTTTCTGACTGCTACAATTGATACAACCACAATTACTCTGCAAGGCTTTACGGAGTTTCTGCTCTTCTCAATATTTGACTGATATAGTAGACTAGCTTTTGCATTTTTGAAGATTCTTTTACTAATACCGGACTGATTGCATGCCTGGAAACTGCTATATATAAACTCAACACATCCATTGGGAACGGCCTAGTCAAGATTGTTGGTTGTTTAATTGACTGCTTCAATGACTTAAGGGACTCTTCATATTCCATAGTCTATTGGAAATTGTTGGAGTTCCCAATTCCTTGTCGCCCAGCTCATAAAGCGATTGAATACTGCTACCCGTCCCGTTAGCCTTTGAACTTCCTTCTTAGTAGTTAAGTTTTTCATCTTTAAGATAGCTCGAATTTTGTCTAGGTTTGCCTCAATGCCCCTCTATGTTATAATGAAATGCAGAAACTTTCCACCAATCGTACCGAAAACATACTTCTTGGGATTGAATTTTAGCTTACATTGTCGGGTGACATCATCAGCCTTTATCACATCATCGATTAGACCCTAAAACACCTTATTTACCATTCTTTTATAAGTTGTCTCGACATTTTTCAAACCGAACAGCATGGCTATGTAGCAATAAGTTCTAAAGTCAGTGATGAAGGAAGTCTTTTCCTAGTTCGATTCTGCCATAGAAATTTGATGATACCTATAGAAGGCATATAGAAAATTGAGTCTCTTATGACCAGACGTGACATCTATCAAGTGGTCGATTCTTGGTGAAGCAAGATTGTTACTTCGATGAACAACGGACACTTGCAAGAAGAGACTAGGATTATCTCCCGCGTGAGAATTAGTGATTGGAGTTTTATGAAAAATGACATAAGGAGAAAAAGAGAGAATGCCAGAAAATTGTTTTGTAAAAAGAAGATCCCCATAGCTAGCTAACACACATTTGGAATATTTATAGATGCTTGGTGCCATGGGATCGCTAAGAAGTTATCATCCGCATGTCTAGTGTAACACGTCTACTCATCGGCAGATCTTACCTCCATACTAAGTGGTCAGCCTCTAAACACTAATCGGTTAATGAGATGTCATAATCGTTAATTAGTTGATAGTCATGCCGATTGATCCACCATAAAAGTAGTCAGTCTAGCATAATGACAATTAGGCTAACATAGATAGTTGAGCTAGCATAGTGGTAGTCAGACTAGCATAGTGACAATCAAGCTAGCATCAATAGTTGAACTAGTATAGCGATGGTCGGTCTAGCACAACAGCGGTCGAGCTAGCATTGCGATAATCAGACTAGTATAACAACAATCGACTTAGCATAGATAGTCGAGCTAGCATAGCAATAGTCAAGCTATCATAGGGATAGTCGAGCTAGCATAGATGGTCTTCAATTGATCGGCTATCATAGTCTACTATTTATATAACATCACGAATAAAGTATATTCCTCTAGACAATGCAAAATTAAAAATACCACGTAAAATTATAGACAGTTTAAAGTCAATTACGTTATTTCATACTAACCTTTTTAGTATTTATAATATAATATTATTAAAAGTCAGACTTATAGTGTTTCCAATATTTTTTAATTTTCCATTTGATTGAAATGATCTTCTAAGTATCCAATTTAACTTATGCTAAATATCGCTGGCATGATACACCAATTAATTGATAAGTTAGTTTATGATGGGTACACGAATTAAATTATTCGCAATTAATTGGTTTACCTACGCAGTTATGCTTAGTTTATGATATGCACCATACTTAAAGATCATTTCTCTTTCATTTGTTATCATAAAGTCAAACCGATATTTTGTAAAAGACAAATATCATATAATATGCGTGTCTAAATGTCATAAGATTTTTTCTTTTTTCCACAAAGCATATCTTAAAATGGATTTGTGTGAGAGGAAAATGTCAAAAAAGTAAGTCTATGGAAAAACAATATGAATAAGTTAAAATATACAAATTAAACTAGTGTTCATGTTGATTTCCTAAGATTTCAAATCAACATCTCTAACACAATATATCATCAAGTCAATTTCTAATTATCTATCATTGTTATCTTTATAGTGTTCATCTTGGCTAAGCAATTGTGGAAATAATAAAATAACCAACTCGAAACTATAAAGTTATTTAGTCCCTGTTTGGTTCAGTTAAAAAATATTTAAAATTTAAATCAAAATCAACAATTAATTTTAGTAATGTATTTCTTGGGATTCACAAATTTTTAATTGTGCATTCCACCAATTTTAATTAAATTTTACTAAAAATCTAATTTTTATTTGAATCAAACTAGGCTTAAAGTTGAAACGAATAAGTTATTTATTTGACATTAGTTTTTTTACTTTTGTACTAAAATTAACTTCTTCCACTCTTAGTAAGGGGGAAAAATGTTATTCTAACATGATAAATATATTTAGGTTTGATTTGCCAATTATTCCTTTTCAATTTGTCCATTTCAAATTGTAGTCATAACTAAAAAGGATATGAAGTTTGATATTATCCGTCTACTTCATTTTCATGTACAAATATTCTTGACACGTATTTTATTAATCTCAATAATTTAAAGTACTCCACAAAATGAAAAAAATTCACGTATATTAGCACAAAGTATATAAAATTAGGAGAAATTGATAAATTGTAATATTATGACGAGTTTTCAAGTATAAATGTTATGGAAAAGAATTGGATAATATGATATGACATGATACGAAACTGATTATTATAACTCATAAGTTTTAATCTTTCCTTCTTATACAATTATGTCCTGTCTACGTAATATATACTGATTGTAAAATATTAATAAACAAATTTCTCTCACCTAATCAAAATTTTTGTCTCTTGAGCTATCTAATCTAATACCAATGCAATATTAAGACGAAAAATAACTATTTAGAAGGAAGCAAAGAAAATTTTCAAGTTTTCTTTCTCACTGGTCCCTCCAATTTTTAGATTTCAAATGAGGTCCCACAAATAAATCAATCTTTTTTGTATAATGACACGCGTCAATTATGGATTGGTCGACTTCTAACTGAGTCTGTTATCTGTTTACGTTTGATTTACTAGTTCACGTGTTCTTCATTATTTGATTCTAAACTCACACATCACACACTCATTCATGTATGCTTTGAAATTGGTTTTAACTAATGTGGAGAAAGCGATTTTAAGTATATTTACTTTGCTGAAGTTGATTGCAGGGTCTCACTCATGTTATCTTATGCTCGCACACATTTTGATCATTCTTAAAAACCTTCGCTAGAAGGAATATAGGCTCACAATTGATTTCTTCAATATCTAAATAACATATCCATGACGTCACTCATGTAATAACATAGAATTATGTTTCAAAATTAATTTTTTAATTTTCTTTCTTAAAAAGCAAATTTTTGACTAAACAAAGTAATTCTAAGAATTAATTTTAATAAAATAAGTAGCGTGAAAGTTAAAAGTAAATATTTTGTACTTTTATGCAAGAATCGAACATTTTTTTTTTTAACTTTCTTTCTTTAGAATAAATTTCTGAATAAGCAAAATAAATTTAAATAAAATAAGTTGCTCAAAAGTTAAAAGTAAATATTTTGTACTTTTAGCAAGAATCAAACATTTTTTTTCTTAGAGATTGTTAGGGAGTGATTTTGAGAATTGATTTTTTGATCGTTAGGAGAAAAGTGGGGTCCACTCGTGAGAGAAGAAGTCAAATATGATGACTGAAATTGTGAAATAACGGTCAAAAAATCAATTTTTTGGGTAAAAAAATTGGGCCCAAACAGGCCCTTATTATTGGCAACACGTGACTGGCTCAACGGTCTACATGCCGTAAGCCATGTCCAGTCCAGTCCCAATTCAAGATAATAAAAGCCAAGAGCTCAGCTCGGCTGAGAAAGTGATGTGGATGATGACGTCATTGATTTGGACAGGATGATATCACAAAGAGCCGGCATCCTCAGAGTGGGCCACGTAGAGAGATTGGGTACACAAACTAAATTGCGCTCCTTCGAAGGCTTACACGCGTGATTAGAATGTGGACCCGTCAGATGAAATGGATCCAATTGGTTCCGGGTCGAATCCAATTAATACCACGACAACGATATCTTTCTATAATTAGTATAATTTGAGAAGAATAATTATTTATTAAATAATAGTAAGATCTATTTTAATATTTTGCCGAGAATCATGTTACATGTTCAATTTTACTTGACAATTTTGATTGATAACTCACACTTTTCAACTTCACGTTCATTCATTCAAAAACCATTTTTAAAATCAATAATTTGAATTTTGATAATACCAACATTGTGAACCATGATCGTCAACAAGGACGGTATAAATAGATTATTTCATCTTGTCGATGTTACTCTCATACAAATTTTTTGGTGACATATATTAATAAAATTACCCCAACTTTGATGTTGAGTTCTTGAAATTGTTTTCACAAAGACTAATTTTTTTACAATAGTTCAAATATTCATACATCGATTATTGTTTTAATATTTCACCTAAAGTGAAATTTTTTGGTGATTCTCCATAATAATGATCTCTACCACCTCTTATTTTCTTTCTTTTGTTTCCGTCACTTCATCTTAATAGCTTAAGCGGGTGGACAAAATGATGTTTATATTATTTAATTATTATCTTCGACACGCTCCTTGATGTACAAGAATATTAAGTTTATCATGTCAAGCTTACACTTGCACAATTCATTTAAGTGGATGACAATGAGACTTAAAAATAGAACCTTTGATTTTACACTTAAACGGTTAGATACAACACACTGTATATACTGTAAAATATTGTCTTCAACACTATTTGAACCTAAATTACTAACCCAATTTCAAAAATAGTAGTTAATGTTCTGATATTTGAAAATCAAAGTTGAAGTAACTAACAGCCTCGTTTGGCCCACATTAATTACATTTTATTTCTCTCTCTCCTATTTTCAAACATACAATTTTCTATAAAATAATATTCTGCGTAACCAAAATTTTATCTTTCTTTCTCAACCACACATTTTTCAAAAAAAATACTATTTCACCCATTTTTATTTCAAAAAATGGGGCCAAACGGGGACATATATGAGAAAGTAAATCAAGATCGATTAAGCTAGTAGCATTAGGGTTTAGCATGTGTATAACTTTCGACATCGATATTTAAATTATGTCTCTGTTTGGTTCAGTTAAAAAAGTCGATTAAAATTAATGTCAAAATTAATAATTAATTTTAATTACATATTTCATGTAATCTAGAACTTTCAATCATAAATTTAATTAATTTTTATTAAAACAAAATATGGCTATTTATACACTAACAAATAAAAGTGATAAACAATTCTAACACGATAAGAGTCCTAACGTAAAAGTCAGAAAGAGACGGGGAGAGAGAGAGAGAGAGTTTCAACATTGAAAGAGTAATCCTATTAATATCAGCAGTGATGATGACAGAAGATCACTCCCATGTATGACTAGTTAACACATTCAGAGTCATGTAAGATTAATTTCTCAAAACATGTTTTTATTAATTAATCATTATATACAGTTATTAGTCAATTCTAAAACCCAATATTAAAAATAATTGACAACAGCTTTTTGAAATTATAGATTAGTAATATGTGTGATTTAAAATTGAATAAGGCCTTGGTTAATCTCTATTATTTTTAAAATATAATTTTTTCTTTTTTATTTTCAACTATACATTCTTCAATAAAATGATATTGCGTTCAAAACACACGTTCTCCATCTAATCATTTCAAAATGAATTTTTGACAGAAAAATTACAAACGGGCTCTCAAAATAAATATATCTAATGAAATATATGATTAATAATAAAATTTAACTGACTTAACGCTTATTCGATAATGATTATGAAAATTGATTTTTTGATCGTTATAGAAAAAGGTGGGTTCCATTTGTGAGTGAAGCTCTTTATCAAACACGTGTCCATATTTTAAGAATACTTTATCATCCAGGTAACTTTTGTTCCCTGGCCTGTTGAAACACATCCCGCAATTAACTTCTCGCAGGATGCATTAGAGGTGGGGCGTTGGTGGACCCTTAAGGTTGGTGTTCAACCAATTATTATTATTATTATTATTTTTTTTTTTTAAAACGAACTCAGGCGCTTAGCTATTGAGCCGAGGACTGCGGTTTCGATACTCGGATACTTTCCAAGTAGCTTTATAAGGAAAACACATTTATTTCTTTTTCCAGTTTCATACTTTAAATTTCCATTTTCCCTTCTTCCCCTCTTTTCCTTTCTTGGAAATCTCATTTTCCTCCCTCCAAATCTATAAATCCGAAGCCCCTTTTTATTTTCAAACAAAAAAAAATCGACCAGCATGGACAAATTGCTCACAGTCAATCAAAAAAAGGCATCAAAACAACCCAAGAACAAGAAAAAGCCAGTCAAGGTTGTGTACATAACAAACCCTATTAAGTTCAAAACCAGTGCCTCGGAATTCAGGTCCCTGGTGCAAGAACTCACTGGACAAGATGCTGATATGCCCGAGTATTCTCCCAGGTTCGTGGAGGATAATGATGTCGGCGACCGTACGGAGGTGGCTGACGCCGTTAAAGTGGTGGAGGATCATGCACCATCTGAGGTGGTGCCAACTGTAGTAGGACAACTGCATCCTAATTATGGTGAAATTTCAAGAAGATCTGATCCAGGTTTTGGGATATTTGACGATTTCCTTTATCCTCCACAGATAGTGGATAATTTCCAGGAGCTAGTGCCTTCAAATCTATTGCGTTCAAAACACACGTTCTCCATCTAATCATTTCAAAATGAATTTTTGACAGAAAAATTACAAACGGGCTCTCAAAATAAATATATCTAATGAAATATATGATTAATAATAAAATTTAACTGACTTAACGCTTATTCGATAATGATTATGAAAATTGATTTTTTGATCGTTATAGAAAAAGGTGGGTTCCATTTGTGAGTGAAGCTCTTTATCAAACACGTGTCCATATTTTAAGAATACTTTATCATCCAGGTAACTTTTGTTCCCTGGCCTGTTGAAACACATCCCGCAATTAACTTCTCGCAGGATGCATTAGAGGTGGGGCGTTGGTAGACCCTTAAGGTTGGTGTTCAACCAATTATTATTATTATTATTATTATTATTATTATTTTTTAAAACGAACTCAGGCGCTTAGCTATTGAGCCGAGGACTGCGGTTTCGATACTCGGATACTTTCCAAGTAGCTTTATAAGGAAAACACATTTATTTCTTTTTCCAGTTTCATACTTTAAATTTCCATTTTCCCTTCTTCCCCTCTTTTCCTTTCTTGGAAATCTCATTTTCCTCCCTCCAAATCTATAAATCCGAAGCCCCTTTTTATTTTCAAACAAAAAAAAATCGACCAGCATGGACAAATTGCTCACAGTCAATCAAAAAAAGGCATCAAAACAACCCAAGAACAAGAAAAAGCCAGTCAAGGTTGTGTACATAACAAACCCTATTAAGTTCAAAACCAGTGCCTCGGAATTCAGGTCCCTGGTGCAAGAACTCACTGGACAAGATGCTGATATGCCCGAGTATTCTCCCAGGTTCGTGGAGGATAATGATGTCGGCGACCGTACGGAGGTGGCTGACGCCGTTAAAGTGGTGGAGGATCATGCACCATCTGAGGTGGTGCCAACTGTAGTAGGACAACTGCATCCTAATTATGGTGAAATTTCAAGAAGATCTGATCCAGGTTTTGGGATATTTGACGATTTCCTTTATCCTCCACAGATAGTGGATAATTTCCAGGAGCTAGTGCCTTCAAATCAGTGGCACGAAACTACTCATTTTGATGGGCTCAAAAGCTAGATGCAATGTAAATAAATTAGGTACGCTTTGCTAGCGTACGTTGAATATTAATGTTGATTTCGTTTCATTTACTTTATCAACTGTTGGTAAATTATGCTCTTGTTTGATCTCTATTATTTTTAAAATATATTTTTTATCCTATTTTTAACCACACATTTTTCAATAAAATAATATTATACAAAAACGTAAAACATTTTTTTTTTAAAATTTTTTTTAACTACGCATTCTCTATCAATCTACTATTTCAAAACGTATTATTAGAAAATAACAGGGTGCTAAAAGTCACTATGCTGGCTAATTTTAAGTGCACTTGAAGAGCAATTATTTGCTTATGTTTTGTCATTCAAGAATAAAGTTCTAAATTCAGATTTTACCATCACTAAAGACCAAACTAGAATTGAACACGAAATCACCAAAACAAAAAATTGAATAATTTTTTTTATTTAATTTTAAATAGTTCGTTGGTTTAGGTCCACGTGGAACTATTATCTTTTTGATTTTGAATCGAACCGAATCACTTTGAAGTGGTTTTGTTTTAGATTTCAATTTTTTGTAAATTGTTTCAAACCGCTAAATGCTTACAAAAATAAAATATTTAAAAATAAATTAATTTAAATTTGTCCAATCCAATTAAAGCTAAACATATCCCAATTAAAAAGATCATTCTATATTAGACCCAACACAATTAAACTCGATCCACAATGTAGTTACACTCAATACTTGTTTGACAATTATCCATTCTAATTAATTAAGCCCCTGCTCTACTGGGGATTAGAATTAGATTTTGAATATATTTTGATAAAAGTTGATAAAATGCATGGTTTAAAAGTAGTGAATTTCATGAAATATATAATTAAATTAATTGATGACTTTGACTTAAATTAAAATTTTGATTTTAATTCCTACTAAACAAGGCTAAGTAGATGATGCCCAGTTACACATTAGTCATAAAAAATGAGAATGCAAAATCCTCAAATTGCTTGAAATACTGAATGACCGCCATTGAACCATATTCAACGATCGTCCATCATAATAGAGTTGACAGGAAAAATCTATATTTAAATTTAAATTTACACTATTTCTTTTACTTCTACAAATAATTATCTCGAATTTCGCTCAATTTTGAGTTAGTTTTTCAATTTTTCAATTTAGTTTTTAGTAATTGTTTGATATTTTATTGATATTGTTTTCCCTTTATTTTGACTTTTGTTGAGTCCCTTTTAAATTTTTAGTTGAATAATATATATATTTTTTGTTTATTTGCAGCAGAAGCAATGGATGATTAAGAGAAAGCTACAGAAGGTATATATTATCGTATTTGATATTTCTATTCATCTTATTGTTTAATTATAATTAATGAATATGTTTGCAATGTTTTTATCTTTACACAGAGATTGAATCATGTGTTACAGTTGAAGATGTTGCGTCAATTAGTATCGACTAATAGGTTAGAACGAAACTGTATCTGTTATGTTGTTGCATTCTAATGATTTGAAGTGTAGATCTTTGGTTTAAAATATCTGTAATGATATCGATATTTATGTTTTAATGTGAGATTTTAGACTAAAATTTATGATTTAACTTGTTTGATATATGATTTTTGTTTGTTTGCTAAATCGTAATTTTAAACCGAATCAAATCGTAAAAAGTGGTTTGAATTAGAAAGTGAAGTATTTGGTCTGGTTTGAAAAAATTTCAAACGGCTTTAAAAGATTTGGTTTGAAAATTTGTTATAAACAGCTCAAATTGAACCGTGTTCACCCTAAATCAAACCTTTTGTTTTATATTAATAAAACTAAGAAAAAATAATAAAAAGATCACTTGAGTATAAGTTATTTAATATCTTACTTAAATAAAGAAAAATAAAGAAATTGGCTCTATTTATAGCCTTGACCAATGCTTCGAATTAAAAGAAGAATTAGGGGTGAAAATCAATTCCACGCAATTCTGCTTGAACTTGTGTGTGAAGCGAGTAGAGTATAAGCCGCTTCACAAAAAGTAAACTTGGCTCAACCCATGTACTATCTCCTTGGTGGAGGGAGTTGCTTGTGGTTCATAATTCTTTTTTTCTTCTTCTATTTCCAAATTTGAATTGAAAATTGTACATTCACTTTTCCCAAAGTATAATGAAGACGTATATTTATAAGGAAATGGTAAAAGTAAAAAATTATACTTAATAAAAAAATTAAAAAATTGTAAAATTCTTCATCCCTTATCTGGTTGGGGACTAGCTACAATACATATGTGGAGTTAAAACTGTACACGAATGAACAATTGTATACAATTTTAAAAGACAAATGAAATAAGTGCAGTTATAAGGGTCAACTTTGAGAAAATATACTCACAATTCTATCGAAATATACTCACAATTCTACTTTAGTAGCATGCAATTTCACATCTGAAAAGATGTAGATGGTCACCTTCATCTTCTCAAAGTCATCGGTGCATACAAATATGTGCTTATATTCGATTTGTAATGTTGTCCAAGTTTCTTGATGCATCTTGATCTAATATATGGTCTCTCATAATAGATCTTGTGTTTGTAAGTACGGATGAAGTCATAGGTACTATTAACAAGTCTCGATGTCACATATCGAGCATATTCCATCCCCATTCGACATGTTAAGGTCGCTAACAGCTAGGTTTATGGCCTCTATTATCGAATAGTGCACTAATAGTGTCATCATATATAGGTATTGTGTAGTATTTCTACCTATAAGCGTGTGTATGATGGTTATTTTGGGCTTGTCGACCTAAGCAAGAGGAAAATGCTACCTTAAACCACAAGACCCCAGAGATTTTACAGGAGGTCCGTGAAAGTTGGTATCAGAGGAGACCTACTTTAATTTGTGTTGTTGATTGTAGGAGATCACTGACATGTGTTCTTGCGAAAATGATTTTGGAAATGCAACATATTTGCTAAATTGTTCAGCGTGCAAGTGGAACTAATGAAGACTTTGGGATGATGGATGATAAAGCTAGGCATTTGCAAATGAGTCTACGTGCATTGTTACTTTATTTCTTGAAGCGATGTGAATATTTTAGAGGGATTCTGTTTGTGCTCCAACATGCATAGTGGCGCTGCAATAGAGACTATCTATATGAGGAACTAATAGTTTAGAGGTATATGGTAAATGTTAATGCCAGAGGAAGTATCTGTAGATGGTACTGCAAATAGATGTACGAGGGGCACTGTGTGGCTCTTCCATGGGGATATGGTGCTACAATTGTGAAAATTCTTATAGTGAGAGGGTTGAGATGATGCAAAGCTCATTTCACATTAGGAGAGTGTTAGTGGTTGAACGAAGAAGAATGCATCTGGGCTATATGATCGAAGAGTGCACTAATGGTGTCATCATATGCTAGTATTTTTCAACATCTTGCCTATAAATATATATGTGGGTTGATTGTTTGTGCTTATAGACCTGGCAAAGGAAGAAAGATATCCCACGATAGTTCGTGAAAGTTGGTATCAAAATAGGCTTACTTGAATTTACGTTGTTGGTTGTGGAAGATCAGTGACATGCATTCTTGTAGAAATGATTTTATGATCGCAACATATTTGCCAAATAGGTCGATAAGCAAACGAAATTGATGAAAAAAGCTTTGGGGATAATGGATGATAAAGATAGGCAATGTACGAATGACCTACGTGCTTTATTAGTTTGTTTTGTGGAACACGGTGATCATTTTAGAGGAATTGTGTTGATGCTTCGACATGTGTAGTGGCTCTGCGACAAAGGTCCTCCATTTGAGGAACTAATGGTTGAAGGTCATATGATGAAGGTTGGTGTTAGAGGCATTATGTGGATGCCCGTCCATTGGGGGATGATGTGAAAATTTTTGCAAGCAGAGTGTCGCTCGACCATGTAAAGCTCACTTCTCACTACGTGGGCATTAGCAAATTGAATGGTGGAGAATGTGATGTACCAAACATATTCTTCTTTCCATATAGCATAGCAAGATCGTCAACAGCTAGTTGTATGGCCTATATTATCGAAGAATGCACTTATGTTGTCATCATATATAAGTATTGGGCAACATCCTATTCAAAACTTTCGTGTGTGTTGGTTGTTTTGAGCTTGTTGCCTATACAAGGGGAAAGCTACCTCCGGGTGCGGGACCTCGGGGACTGCATGGTTGGTTTATGAAACTCGAGCTACTCTGGACAACATCGAATATTAATATAGACATGCATTCTACTATTCAAGTAAGTTGAAGAAGTTAATCCCTACTAATATCTTGCACCATATTGGTGCTCGAAGCATATGAGTTTCACACATTTCGAACTCAATTTGAACTTCATGAATATACTATTTTGGAAAATATGAGCAAAACTGGCATTTACTACGCTATATTTTCGATTTAGCACTACCCAATTTACGTAAACGACTTTTCAATATATGAGCACCAGATTGTATTATTCACTATAAATATTTAATATAAAACTTATATTCAAATACCCTATATCAGAAAGAAAAGAAAATATTTACACCTACACGTGTAAAATACTATTGTTAACCATTACATGAAATGCAATATATGCTAGGCCCTTGTTTGAGCTCCATATTTTCCATCAAAATAAACCCAAAACTTTTTCCTTAATCTTAAATTCTCTATCATAACACTGTTGCAAAATGCATTTATTTAAAAAAATGGGGCTCAAACAATCCCTAAATGTTTAATTAATCGAATTAAAATCTTATAAAGAATGTGAAGTAATTTGTCCAATGTGGTGAGTAGGTTGATCTGATGCAATGTGTTTAACATCAAATAGTGCCTTTATAAGAGCCAAATCAATATTATCAAGAAATCTTACTACCAATTATAAGCATCGATTACTATCAACATAAAACATATATCAAAGACTAAAGAGATATTACCTTCATAATTTATGAATAACTTTAATTCTTCTTTCATCTTATCGAACACCATAACACAATTGACATTTTCATCGAATATTTGAAAATTTGACTAGAAACTACTTAAATTATCTTTGTTTCAAGAAGATAATAATGCGATAGCTATTATGTTACGTAGATACAAGAAGAAATATAGAACTAGAGATCAGATAATGAAAACTCTTTATTGAACTGGTGTAATAACATTAATACCGAACAATTTACAAAATCAGAAGAGTTTCAACGAAACAATTAGTAGAGTGATAGCTGTAAAATTATAGGCTAAAGAGAGAAGAGTGATATATTAGAGAGATTGTAGAAAATAATGGAAGTGAGATTTAATGAAATTTATCTACCAATCAATCCCTATTTATAGGCCCTGAATTCAACATTAGGGGGGAAAAAATCAAATCATATTTCAGATGCTATCAATGTAGTCTACATGGCTCGTGAGCCAACTCTGTCAACCGACGAGCAACTAGAACAAGAAATTTGCAGGTCAGCGGGGACAGCCCGATATGTCGAACCGTAACACCCCTACGGGATTATGATATTTCTAGTTCATCTTTAGTTACTGCTTTGAAGAAAAAAATAAATCTAATATTTATTTTCTTTAGGTTTTTTGTTTAACAGCTAGTTTGTTACTGATCTGCACCATGACAGCTGATAAGTTGAAGTAACATGGTATCAGTTCCTGTTAGTTACTTATTTCATGGCATGTCTAGGACCATTTGTCGAACAAGATTGAGGAAGATTTATGTGAAAATGTTCATCTATCATTCATGCACCTAATTGCACTATGAATTCTTTATCGGATACCCTAATTGAGATGATTGTTCAATCTCTATTTTGGTGTTAATCTTTATTTCAGTACATAATCTTTTTATAAGTTCTTGTTTGTGGTTTGATCACTGATTAACAAATATCAAATAGTATAGCTAGATTAAAGAACTCTAAAGAAAGATTTTGTTGTGTGGATTTTACATGTGAGTACTCTCATTATTGTGTCAATAACTCATTCACAGTTTAAATTGGTATAGATTTCTGAGATTTTCTGTAATTTTTGAGTTTTTGTGGTAATTGTGATTATGTTCTTATAGTCATTTGAGCCTTATATATACAGTCACTTTCTATGTAGTTTATGAGTAGAGAAAAGTATGTAATTTAATTTCTCGGATACCTCTAAATGTGTTCGCATCTCATTTGTCATAGCTTATAGTTGCATTTCAAACAATTACGAGGCAACAAGTTTTAAATCACGACGTTGCGTACTACCATATTTTTGTGTTATAGTTGAAATATCTATTGTGAATCCATGACAGGGATGCAAATTTACATTTATCTTGCTCCGATTCATCATATCATGCAGGATTTCATTTTGAGAGAAAAAAACCATAAAAATTGTGAAATTGTTATCTGCCGAAACGCATAAAAAGAAGATATCAAATTTTACGACGAATTTTGATGCAATTTTAGAATCTTAATACACCTAGAAAATGGATAATCTTGCAATAAAAGTTACTTAGTTTTCGAGATCTATTATAAGTTCTATCATACATCTTCTGATCAAATGCTAAATCCTTCTCAAATGGGAGGAGTTTTGCATTGTTTTTCTAGCTTATTTCAATTCTTTGAAAAGATTGTTCCATATCCAGTTTAGATGTATTCTGGAGCTACTTGCCTTATTTTTCCACTGAAAACACATGCACATTAGTCAAATATATATGCAGGTTTTTATGCACAAATCCCAAGAAAAAGGTCTGTTGTTACATTAGGTGCATGAATAATTCAATATGTAAATATAGAAAAGTTTCAATCTTCATGCATATATTGCAATGAAATTGATCTTTTGCTCTAACCTTAATTATGATTTTTTGAGTTTGAGAGAACCATAAGTAGGGTTTTCTTTTCATGTCAGCAATGGAAAGTTTGGCAGGAGATCAGGCCTGTATACTGCAATTTGCAAAAAAATTATTAACTGATGGATGCAATGTGAATATGATGATATCTGTTTAATATCCAATTCTTAACAATTTTTCATCAATTTCCAGCTGTTCACGACTTTGCTACCTGTTGAACTTAGGATTTAAATAAGTGTTCAAATATGTCCATTGTGCAAGTATTATTTCCTTTGCCCGTTTCCTTTTCTATGCTTCTACCCCTCAAAATGTGAGTAGTATGACAGTCGTGTGATTTTTTAGTTTACTATCCAAACGAAGACAGTCCATCGAATGCTACAAAATCGAAAGGTTTGGAATTCATATGCAGCCATATAAAATAGTTGAAAACTTATTTGCTTTGAGGTGCGAAAGAAGATGAGTTTCATCGGTGCAGACAGCACAATATAGAGATTTTACTTTTTTTTTTTAAATAATAATATTTAATCTATTTTACCAAATATGTTATTAAATTACAAAATTTTAGAAAGGGATAATATTTGCAGTAAAAAACAAAATAGTTATACAATGTAAAAAACACTAAAGAAGCTGGGTAAGTATGTTGAAAGCAAGCAGAAAACCCAAAAATGAAAGTAAAATACATGATTTCCAGTTTATGTGTTCTCATTTTCGTGATCGATATTTAATTTCATTAATATCTTTCTAGCGTACCCTTCAAAATTTGCTGGACATTACTAAAATTAACTATTGCTTGGATATTTGACTGTTGCATTACATGTATTTGTACTTTAAATCTCTCAATAGCTTTAAAAATTATATATGAAAAGAAAATATAATGAAAATGTACGTGAACGAGTTTAAATTTATTGAAAACAAGACTTATTATCAGTGTGCTCAGACTATGATCTCATATCTTCCCATGGGAAAATAAATAAAAATTTGGAGTATATTTGAAGAATAATGCTATTCACAGTGAGGGCTATCGATAATCACTCTATATGATGTTTGCCTCACATATCAAATAACAAACTACCATATATATGCTACATAAAGTGGTTATCGATAGTCCTCGCTATAAATAACATTACTTGTATTTTAATGTAAGTGAATAGCTTATATAGCCTCATACATATGCAGAATAAGAACTATATGGTATTAGTGGTGTAAAGTTAAGTCGAGCATGTTACTCCCCATTTCCTAACCACAGACACGTTATCTCACGAAACGGCCTTTCATTAAGAAACAAAAGAACACACAGCAAGGCGAAAGATCAATGGATTTAGTAGTTGAAGATCCTGTGAATCTATGATGAAGAACTAAACATTTTGACAGTCTTAATCTGAGCACTCATTTCCCATTCATGATAAAATGTTATATGGCATAGCTCTTTTCAACCGACTGGTTAAGTACTTCTACGGAAAAAGAATGTTAAAATAATTTGAGTATGGGGTTGATAGGGATGCAGTTCGGAGGGAATTAAAATGTATCTGTACAATTTAATAAATTGGGGGCTCTGCATCAAATTTTCTTACTTTGATGGTTTTATTTTATCTTTTAAAAACGAATAAAATAAACTACGATAGATTTTTGCTAGTATATACTTTGTAACTTTCATTACACGTCTTTTGTTTTAATAACTTTCAATTACCTTACCGAGTATGTCCACTACTGTTTTTTTTACCATGTATGTGTACATATGTAACCTGCACTCAAAACTCGTGAGAGACAAATTTTAGGTGCAATTCTTGAAACTCATTGCCAGATCATATGAACCCATTCAACTCTAGAGGGAAGAAATCAACAAGCTCAGTGCTAGGAAAAATATATATTAAAGGGCGTTTAGAAGCTGTATTCATAATCCAGAAATTCAAATATCGAGAAAAGAAAGCAATAGAATGCAGAAAATAACCCAAAGGGGATAGAATAGCTTTTCAATGATTCTTAGTGGAGCAGAAATACATTGATAATTTTAGACGTGCTACGGCTATTTTATTAGAAGATACATAATAACTAATGAAGGGAAAAATCACAGATGAGTGCACAAAAGAGCATGTCAATCACAATTCACACCTTTATTCTATTTTTTTTTTTTTTTTTCATTAAATAATAACTTCGTAGGTATCCAAACAGTGAACAAATTGCCCAAGTACTCAGAACAAGTCTTTGGTTACTCACAAATATATTTGATCTTTCATTATCATATGTGCACATAAAACATTAACTACACAACCGACGCAATGCGCTTCCTTAAAATGTGGCACAAAAAGTTACATCAAGCAAATTAGAAAAATTAGACAAGCAGACATTATTAGTTCTTACCACTAAATCCCCATGAACTCCAGCCTCTTCCATGGCTTCTCGGAGTGCTGCCTGCTCAGCTGTTTCATCATTTTCCCATCCACCCTATATAGCAAAATAATACAAGAGCATGAAATAAAGGAATGTTCTTCTGTATTCTCTTTGAAACCTCAGCTTCATAGTTCATCCAAATTATTTAGCCTTCTTGTCTCTGGACACATGGATAACATTTATTTATTTGTAGCTTTTTCCTTCAATTCCTATGGTACAGTGGTGATCAATTGTGACATAAAGGGTCAAACTTTATAGCGATTTGCAATAAACTCAACCTAATGTTTTGTATTAAATATGGAACCTTCATAATACAACAAAAGGAATGTATCTTGAAGTACCTTAAACATGCGCTCATTGCAGTGAAAAGTAATATGCATATATTCTATGCCTTAACTAGTTCCATTTTTCATTCATCTGGCCATGGTCTTCGTGGTTGATAGAATCCACATATAGAGTTTTTGGACAAGTGTCACAAAACTCAACTAAACTTCATAAAAATGAATTAAGCACGGAACGTATGCACAGGTAAACAAACAGTCATACAGCCAAATGCATTTATATGACACAGCCATGTACTAATGTATTCTACCTTCTGAAGGATTTTCATCGGAATGAAAAACAACTCATAAATTGCTCCAAATATGAGATCGTCTTGGCTGATACGTATATTCAAATACACAACCCTGTATCTAGAAATTATCAAACAATTAAAACCATGAACATTTCTGATCACAACACTGGACCTACCAATAGAAATCTAGTTTGCTCCTTCTTATATCTAAGTACAAAGAATGTTATAATCAAGGTATTTTACACTAAGATGAAAGAAGAATTACTTCTAGAAACCAAGAAGTTAAATTTGAAGTGGGTGAGATCTTCCTGTTAACATCCAAAATGTTACTCTCTCACTTCCATAGTAGAAAAAAAATTTCCAGGGGTGATGGTTATTGGGAGTAGAGAGAATTACAAAAATTAAAAGGATGTAATCGAAATAACTTTCGGGACCATGAATTGAAGATGGTCCCAAACACTTAAGAAGTGTGCCTAAATGAGTTTTTGGTGGGTCCCACATACATAAGTACTTGATGCTACATACTTGGGAGGGCACTGAAAAAACATTATATACCCAAACAAGCTCACTGGCACTTATTGATCTAAATAAATTCTTGCATCACTCAGTATCCAAATAACACAAATACCTTCAAAAGCCCAAACGTCTGAACACAAAATCTTGGTGCATAATTGCCGAGCATGAAGAGGATCATAAAAGTTATCCTAGTGTATCCCAACTGGGTTGTCTAAAAGAAGTTCCTACATTTGGCACGAGGACAAAAGAGTCATGATAAAACCCCCGTTGAAAGTCACCGATCATATAAGAATACCCAAGCACACAATTCCTTGAACAAAATATAAAAATTAGAGTTCTGATCAGAAGACTTTGTCTGTTTGTTCTGTACCCCAATAAAGGTCTTGACAGCCATGAAAATAAAACCAGGTGGCAGCCAAAATCATCTCAAATAGAACTTGTTTCAGAAGACTTTTCGAGGAACAATACCAAATGGTTCTATATACCAGCATTACAAAAACAGGGAGTTATAGAAAAACATAGAATGTGTTCCATTGAAAACAATGTATGCAGCAATGGCCAGAGTTCGATGTATCTTATCTCACCTTTGGAAACAGGAGACCAGGTCCTCTATTTGAGTTTATCATTAGTACTTCAACAATCTTCTTAGATGGGTCACCACCATTTTCTTCCACATCATTGCTGCACTTGAAGGGAATACACCTGTGTAATGACTCTATTGATTATTATTCAGTCTTTAAAGCTGATGAAATGAAAAGGTCGAAATACCATAATTTCAACAAATAACATATGATCAATAGTCAGCACCAAAAATCAAGGATATTAACCTAATCGCACAAATGCCCAAAAAACAGAATAGAAAAAGGAACCCAAATCTTGATTTTGGGAAAAAAAAATTCCCCATGCTTTTCCTTTCCAAGCAAGCCCCGTGGGAGAAAGAGGGGGGGGCACCTAGACAATAAAATGCACATAAAATCCGAGCCAACTATTTCTCTTTAATCTCCAACTTCAACAATATCCCGGAAAACACATTATTTTTAATCAAATTTCAAAAAATCCAAGCCAGAGCTTCACCATTTCCAGAATTGAACAAAACCCAATTAAACAAAATCCGAAGCGGAGCCAGGTTATTCGAACCTCGTACAACACACATACATAAACGCATATGCATGCATGCATGTATTCATTAGACGAGGAAAAGAGGAAGAGAAGCAATTACCCGGCAATAAGGCGATAGCCGTCCTTGTAACGCTGCTGCTGCCGTCCCGTCCGAGCCACCAATTCAGACATTTATATACAAAACAAATCAATACCCACTCCTTGAATATGAATACCAATCTCTCTCTACATAGATTTATTAAACGTCCTCACAAGCTGCCCTTTTGATTCACAAGAACCACCATAGAACAATTCTCTTTCATAGCAACACCTTTCTCTTATTTGGGCACCAAATAATTCTGCATTCCCTCAAATTCTTGCTTTTGTTCTCCAAGAAACCCACAATTTTTTACCTTTTATTCTTTTAGTAATTTTTCTGGGCACAAATTTTAGTGGGAAGGGCATCGAATGAATCAGAGCTTGAAAAGAAAGCGAGTCGGTCAATTTTGGTTTTTAGGTCGTCGGGTGCAAAATATTGGATATTTATTTCGCTATTTTTCCTTTCTTCAATTAATTTTTTCACATGCACATGTCATTTTCGAATCACCGTTTATTCATCAAGGTGTACTCGCCCTTGAAATTTCGGGAAATTTGGTGTAAAAGTAGGCGTCCAGGTAGGGCAGGTCCAATTTTTCTTGTTACGAATAATTAAAAAAGGGGTAAATTATAATTTAATAATTAGAAAAGTGTTATTAAATCAGTGGAACTTTCCAACTTTACAGTTTTAAAATGTCTCTAAACTTCCTTTTGGAATGTACATTCGATACCTATTAGAATAAAAAACAAATTATTTATTGGAGTATTTTCAAAAATATCTAATTTCATGGGTGTCAATTGAAAAATATCCACTTTTTAAATTGAGCACTAAACCGTCTATTATGCCCTTAATGAAAAATACAAGCAATTTATTTATTTTTTCAAATTTGTTGCTGATTTCGAGAAGTAACTTCCATGTAAAGCTACATTAAAATGATGTTATCGACATTTCAAATGTCATTCTCGATATTTAAATCTCATTTATATTTTAAAAGTATACATGTCTAATCACAATATTAAATATTCTCAACATGAGAACAACATATTCTCAACATGTTAAACGTTGTTATCGACATTTTAAATATCTAGAATAACATTTCATTCCGAACATGACATTTCTCTACACTTGAAATGTAATTCTCAATGTTTCTCTGTCAATGAGAAAAATAGTATTAATTGTAATTTGACATATGCACTTTTGAAATAAATATGACAGATTATGCGTTAAAAATTTGTTGGCCAATAAAATTTTTGCAAAAATATCCATTTCTTGTCTTTATGTGGAATCATAAATGGTTCATAAGGGTATTTTGGTTCAAAACATTTCAAAATGGACATTTTTGCAAGAATTTGTGAAAGTGGACATTTTTGTAAATGGACATGTGAAAGTTGACATTTCAAGTAATTCTCTCTTATTTATTCAACTGCATACAAGTATCCCCAGATTTGGAAACGTCCAATACAAATATAACTATAGAGTATAGAACTTCACTAGATGAAAACCACCTAACAAAGTATACTAATGTAATAATGTACACACTATGATACGAGTCTTCCTCCTCAAGGTACGCTGATTAGTGCATGTCTGTTGAGACGATATACAAATCGTGGGAGTCGAGAACCAGAGCTTTTCATTTGAATTCTGTGTCGAAGGCAAAGATAAAAACTAGGGAGTAACTCGACAAAGATAATTGAAAGTGAAACAAAGGTATCGTACGGACATACAGAAGCTTCAATATTCTTTCGCAATTTCAGACAAGGATGAGTATGTGCCGAGTATTGCACTGACAATGCCCAATGCAACTATGCTCGTACTGACAACCATCTGAACAAGTGGAAATATACATAAACAAGACGAATATGTTATAAGAGGATTGAACATGGGCGATGTAGCCAATATTTCATAATCTTAAATCGTGTGACAGAATCGTAGGATTCGAGGAATAATAAGTCTAGAAAACTCGACTAGGAAGATAATCCCACCTGTGTTTTAGTGGCTTTGTTCCCCAGAATCTTCATGAAACATAAAGCGGGCATGATAACTGCCTGAAAAAGTGTTCAAATTTTACTGTTATGTAGCATATATGTACAGCATAGCAGCCTAAAATTACCAAAACTGCAATTCATTTTTCACTCACAGTCTCTTAACTTTTCAAAAATTATAGAAAGTATGCAAAGGAGGAAGGCAAATCGAGTTATACCACAAGTATACTAAGAAGAGAACCAATGAGAGCCATCACAAGACCTGCAAAATGGCACAGGTACTAAATCCACTACCGAAGAAAAACTTGGTTGATTACTGTTAGTATTATTCAAGGTGGGAAGTGACTTCCGAGGTATACCGAAGAAAGGAAGAATAAAAGCAACACAGACAGTAGAGACGACAAGTGCTGTCCTCAAGAGAATATAAAACCAAAAACTACTAGAGATCCTGACAGGCAGCAACTCCTCTATGCTCCTGGCCAAAGGATTCATCAATAATGCATATTTGCACAATTTTAAGGAACACAACAATAAACTGATGAAGAAACAAATTTCGAGAAACGGACTTGTGCAAAGCTCGAGGATCAAATATTGACTTAAAAAGGATATTTGGTGAATGGGTTGATAACCTGTAAGGGGGGAGGGGAAAAAATACTTTAGCTGCAAATTCGTTGAAAAAACAACATAACTATGTAAAAATATCCACTAGTGCGATACCCACAGTTGTCCATAGTGCGACTTTTGAAATGACTGAGTGAGGGGGCATATTCAAAGTTATCTGGGACAATGTACTTTGTCCAAACATCAAAAATCCCATGATCGCGACACCTCCATATTTTAGAACACACAACAGAAAGCTGCATATCAAGAAAGTATATATAAGACCTCAAAATGTTTCTATTAACTTATATAATGTTTTCGAAAAACATAGGAGGATTTGTACCAGGTAATAAGTGCTTTGTTGAACTTTGTTTTATCAGCCATTGATTGGTATATATTTGGGAACACAGAATGACCAGAATAGCAAAATCCGTATACACCAACAGCAAACGGAACACCACTCCAGTTCACCAATTGACCAGTATGATACATGCCGATTTTATCCACTGTACAGAGTAAAACTAAGCAGAAGACAATAACTATAGTTGCAAGAACACCGCAAACTGCAAAATGAAGAACAAACAAAATAAGAACAGGATAAGATGCTAATAAAATCAATTAATTTTTAAATGATTCAAAGTTTGGCACCTGAAAGATAGGATATGACTCGGAGATCCCTCAACCAAACAGTTGGTAAAACAATAAGGCAAGTGAGTATTCCAAAGAAGTGGATTGAATCCAGCTTGAGACTACCCCAGTCCACATTTGCTCCGGGAAATAGCCTGGTGAGATTATCCCCTTCCAAAATGATAAACTCCACACAATAGGACTGTATTGATGGGAAAAAAAATTGAGGAATATGTTTCGATAACTAAATTCATATAACTAAACTCGTAAAACTTGCTTCACTTACATATAATTCTGCGTACAGAATGATCTGCAACCAAATGAAATATAGCTCGGTATCAATAGATCAAGGTTTAAAACAAAGGAAACATATTCAGTAAGAAGTAATATGCTGACTTACAGATATGAAAAGCCGTCCAAATCTTCCAAATGCGGCTTCTCCAATATCTGGATAAGTTATGATGCCTTCCCGGCTCTCGAAGCAGTATATCATAAGAGTAGCTGTATAACAACATATAACTGCAAAAAGGACCAGCACTGCCATACTAGCCCAGCCAGCTTCTTTAACAGTGTACGGCGTAGAAAGAAGACCAACCCCAGCCATCACATTTACTCCTGTACTACAACAGCATAATAAGTTGAATCAAATGCAAACATAGACAGATTCAGCTCTCTTGGAAAACCTTGTACTCTGTAGATCCTAGATACTTGGAATATTTTCATTTTATGAGGACTATGAGAAAACTGATACAATATAATTTGAAGATTTTAAAATAAGAAACCTCACCGTTGAATATTGTCTGAATTAAGCTACATCCATGGCTGACTGGAAATTCCCCAGTGAGTTGCTCATGCAGCGGAGCTTTCTCTGATGAGGATAACCGTGCTATACTAATCCCACCTTCATTATCTTTCTCCTCTCCTGTTGCCTTTTCGGGGAGCAAAGATTTTGTCACATCAGAGTGCGAGTAACTACTGTTATTTACTTCAAAAGGTGAATATCTATTACTTGAACCAAGTTCCAAGGTTCCAAATTTTGGTGATGCAGCAATTGTGTACGAGTCAATTGTCTCCCTGCTCACAGAAATAAACAATCACAAGCTTCCATTAAATATCAATCTTCTTAATTTGTTTAATTAAACCCATACTTACATGTGACCCGATTATATCTCTACGATGGATACGAGCATACAAGAATGCATTATGGATTTGTGAGTATTAAAGATCATAAAGCCAACACAGAACTCAGTCAGTCATCCAATCTCCAAATTGTAAAGAAAGATTGAAGAAAAAGATGCATGTACTTCACTTAAGTAATATCAGTCTAAAACTTTCAACCTGCCACATCAATCACAGGCTGTGGAGAGCTCCTCTGGTTCCAATTAATAATCACATAGCTCTCCGTCATTTTCATAGAAGCAAACACCTAAAAATCCAACATCCAAGAATCTAAGTTATATCACATTACCACCGATTAACAATTCTTTTTGTGAATTATGAATCGCTTCTTTTGTTAACCATCCTACTGTGTTATTGAAGATCAAGCACAAGCACAAACCCATATTCTTCCCTTACCTTGGAAAGTAGCATAATATTAATAACTTTCTTCAATCCAACATTAGCACACGAGGGACTAAAATTGGATCTTGGTTTTCTAATAGCACAACCAACCAACTATGCCTAATTTGCCTAAATATGAGCATTTACTTTATAATGTTGCCCCTATATGTGCATCAGCCAAAACCCATTCGTGTAATAAAATATTCCACCCTCTCTAGTTACAAATTAAAACCTAATCCCTACTTTTTAGAGCAATAATAAATAGAAAAACACAATTAGAAAACAAGACAAACTTAGAGATTTATAATAATTCACCCTCGACGAGAGTTACGATCTCACACCCTTAGCCAGTGAGATACACATAAGGCTCCTTAACAATCTTTTTATGTGTGGTAAGAACATTAAGTTGATCCAATACAATGAACCAAAATACACCTAAAAAACTCATTTGCAGACTGATTCGAAGAATAAACCAACAGATTAGGCTTCACACAGTCAAATATATGAAACGTTAAACAACTGGGAAATGTTTCTGTTAATGTCTTTTCGAATTCTACTCGCAACAAAAACGAAGAAGAGAGATGAGGGTGAGTGCATGATAAGCACCTGTAACTCTGAGGCCATTGCTGAGAAGAAAATGGTAATCTCTCGTCTTCATTAATATTATCGTCTTCGTCACTATCAATTTTGTTACTATTTTTCTCTTCAATATCATCTTCACAGTCCTCCAACAAGAAATATTCAGATGACCCTTTAGCACTCCCTGCCATTTTAGCATCCAGGCCTAAACCAATTTCCCAAACCCAAAAAATTTCATCTATTGTTTATCTAAAACTCAAATCATAAATGCACGGGAAATAGGAAAATGACTGGACAGGAGCGGAAGGTGTTTCTAGAGTGTCATTTATCCCTTGTCAAAATCATGTCATAAAGTTGATTGTGTGATAAAGGATGGATTGACCACCAACCCATAAAGGAAAACAATAAATTTTTGTTTTTTTCTTTTAAAAAATAAGAAATATCAGCTTGTTTGATACGGATAAAAATTCAAGCATGTAGGATTTGGAGTTCAGCATGTCTAAATTGGTGTTATGTAGCATTATTTCAAAACATATCTTGTATATAGATATTTTGGAATTCTTCAGCATGTCTAAATTGGCACTATGTAGCATTGTTTCTTACTCCCTCATATGATACTTCCCTATGTTTTATACATTATGATACAATTAATGTATATAAATAAATAAATGTTTTTTAAGTTATTTAAATATGTCAATAAATAGTTCAAGATGAAATAGAAATATTCCACACTCGGCCCTCATTAAAATTATATTTCATTTTTCACTCCATTTTTATCAATCACACATTCTTCTAATAAAATAATATTATATGTAATCCCAATATTTTTTCTGGAAAAGAAGAAAAAGTGTTGAGTTTACGCTAATATTATTTTATTGGAGAATATTTGATTGAAAAGAAGAGAGAAAATTTTATTTTAAAATTAATGGAACCCAAAAAAGGAAATACAAGTCAACATCTAAAAATTAGATTATGCTACTTATACATAAAAATAGTACATTAGAGGTAACATAAAATTATGTGGAGGGAAAAGATTGTATGAAAAAGTTGATTGTATTTTTGATTTGAGAAATGATAAAGTGACATATGACATTATGTAACATATTATATAAAACTTAATGTACATATAGTAAGATCTTGTAATTAAACACCCCCCAACCCACACACATAAAAATGTAATTAAACAACCGCCATTCCAACCATGCACATTTATGCTAAGCACCATGCTTTGGTGGTATACTACAATAAGTCCTATTGTAGTCTGCCACTTAAGCATGGCGCCTCAAAATGTTTCGCAGTTGATAAAATAGTCTCCCTTCCATTTTATTTTTCTTGTTCAAAAACCAATCAATGTGTAAATATAGTACAGTTAGACTTTCTCTGTCTCACTTTGATCATTAGATTCTCATCTCTTGTTTGATGGAATTTAAAATTATATTTTTTTATAGGCTTTGAGAAAATTTCATGTAAGAAATAGTTGAAAAGTTGTGAATTTTATAAAATATGTGATTAAAATTAATTTTTGATTTTAACTTTGATAAAAATCTAGATTAAAATGTCTACCAAACATTAACATATGTTCTAAGTCCACCATCATCATAGGACTGTTCATGATTTCCTATTACATTATCATAATCCGCAAAAAGAAAAAAAGAAAAAAAGGTGGGTTCGAATTCTTTTGTTTTGGTGGCTCAAACCAAGTTGTAATCGAGCCTAAATCAAATAAGAAAAAGGGAGTTAATTATATCAATGGTCACCAAATTTTACCAAACGTCACTATTTAATAATTGAACTTATAAATGTATCTCAGTGATCACTGATTTATATACTGTGTTATCCATTCATCACCCAAATCGATTTTATATGTTAAATCTAACGGAATGCCAACTTGGCCAAAATCAAGCATCCATCTAATACACGTGTTTGAAATAATAGTGAAGGCCCATTTCATTCAAGAATAACAAAAACTAAAATTAATCTCGTTTTCTCTACCAAATGAACGACGAGAAAGGAAAAAAACATTGGCATTGCTGGCTGAGGTTCCGTGTTCGAGTCCTCTTACCAGCATGGTGGTACTGTGCCTCTCCAAAAAATCCCTCCATACGTGTAGGGCCAAGCGGTGTATACTAACCCGTAGGGCCAGGCCGGAGGTGGGGTTTCTGGAGTATGGGGCCGCAGTGCGGTAGGGCCAGTCACTTTAAAAAGTTTACCCTACACAGTTTTAGCCCCCCAGGGCACATCCGAGTTGGTTGAACAATCACTTCGCTGGGACGCTGGAAGCAAGGGTGGAGAGTTCGATTCCTGGAGTTAACACTGGGAGCCATATGGAGAGGAAGCCATTGGTGTGAACAAACGCCCAGTGAGGAGAGCTCTCTTTGCGGAAGGAGTCCAAATGAGTTGTGGGAACCTGGGAGCCAACAAGGGCACATCCTGCGATTTATCTCCCTGAGCAGCTGAGGGGCCGGAGGTTCAGGGACAAGGATCTAGTCGGACGCAAGGCCGGACACCTTGTAAAAAAAAAAAAAAAAAAAAAAAGAAAAAAGAAAAAACCATATACCCATGTCGGTAATAAACAACCAACAAATACATGCGTGCAATTATTTCGCCTGGGTTGATTATAATGAACCCATCAACTTCCTTTTGCAGTTCTATCATTATCCTAACAGTCTATGAGCTTTTTCGCGTTAAACACTTTGAATCATTTCCAATTTCATGGGAATGGTTAATTCAATTGGAGCATATCTATTCTCAGGTATACTTGTTAGATATCTATAAGATAAAGAGGTGGATATAACCTATTTATCAAATGCTGTATGCTGGAAGATCCTCAAGCTGAATTCCACGTATGATATTTCGAGGCATCCTTGTCTTTCTTTTTTGACAAACTGTGTGGTAATGCCCCTCGTTGCATGTAGTAAGGAGCACTTTGTCGTGGTGAAATATTAATTTATTTGAGCTTAATGTGTTTGTGAAAATGCTCCATAGAGCAAACTATGCAAATAAATTTGAATGAGGTGAACTTATGGTGCATTTTTGTATAGATTTTCTACTTTCTGTTGATATCATGGTATAATATTACATGTATAATGTTACTTGTTTGGTGTAATCTTCATTCAAAATTGGGTATGGTTTATGAACTTTTTCTCTTTTTCTTGTCCTTGTCATACTGATATGAAATTTGCCTTCTTAATATCACAAGTGCTGAATTGCCATTCTTAATAGATCTATTCACAAGCAATGTGGAAGTATCTCCAAAACAAATTCAACACCTCAATTTAAACATGAAACTTCGGCAAACATTGACGAATAAATTCAATTTTCATCGTTTTCCTCCTAAATTCATCAACAAGATAAAGATCTACAATCCCATACCATCCAATATTGAGTTTACACACCAAAAACTCAACAAATCAATCCATGTTTCCTCAAGAAAGACTACATATTGAATGAAATAATCTCATATGCAACAATTAATCCAAAGAACAAACGAGTTCCAAATGCTACAATGGTATAACTTAGTATAAATGAGCAAATTTGATATGTTAATACAACCAGAAATACATATGGAAATATTAAATGAAACGAAAAACAAGAAACTGGGATCCCAAGAAGAAGATAATGAAAAGGGTAACCCCAAGAGTATATTAAAGATTTTGAGCTGGTGAAAATGAACGTGCCCAGATAACTTTAATCACTGGAATACAATTGAGGCCAGATGGGTGGCATTAAGAACAAGTAAAAAATGGAAAAATTACCTTTCAGTAAGTTGATTTACAGGGTTTTTGTAAAGAGTTGCAGAGATGGGGAGACGGCACAGACGACACAAACATGTATAAAACAGATTTTAATCACTTCATGATGATATAGATGTAGAAGAGAGTTCATTACAAAGTTCATTGGATCCCAAGATTACAAAAAGCTCATCACACCAGCTAGAGGATTGATACATTTAAGAATCACTAAGACAAAATGAGATATATGAACTACAAACACAGAAGACATCCTTTTATTGACAACATTCCAACAGTTCATTAAATGCACAAGCCTAGACAAAAAGGGACTTAGCACCGATGTTCAAAATCAGACAAAAACTACTGCATTCTTGTCCATCCAAAGTGAAAAAAAATAAATAAATATTCAAGACATGTTGGTGATAATCCAACAAATACAACTTGTGATTCAAGATTAATCCTTCCAAAAAGTAAATCATCAACAATCTAAATTAGGATACTTTTTTCTTAAAGATACTGGCACTTGTTCCCTTCCTCGGTGCAGTGAATGTAAATGAGGCTCTAACCATCCTATTATTCTTTGCCCTTGCTGCCCTTGACTGTGTCTGCTCATCAAAATTAATACGTTGCAAATCTTCTACCACTTTTGACACATTATTGGTTTGAGAGGGCCCTCTAAAATCTTCAAATGATTGCACTTGATTCTGTTTTTCTTTTGCTGAACTATGAGATGTAATTGATTGAGGTTTAGCATTTGTGACACATGGATTCCATGTTAATCCAATCCCCGGTGTAGGCATGAACTGAAACCCAATCATCCTTAAAAGTCTTGATAAACCCAGTAACCCTATTAATTGTTAGTTTCAAATCATCCCTAACCTCTTGATAAATTTTTTTTGTTCTCCAACAAGGATCAACCTTAAATGTCTCTAGACACCTCTCTGCTAGATAAGCATATGTGCAGTGCCTATTAGTTTTGTCCCTGCTGCATGTATGATTTGGATTGTACGATTTAATCTGTACACAGTCTTTCTTCTTGCTCCAAGAAGCCAAAGTCTTCAAGTACAACCCTCCTTACACACCCTGAGCTTTATAAGCATTGTTCACCTTAAATTTTATGTTAGTTCTGCTTACAACCCCATAATGCTTAACTGCTTTCCTGAATTCGGCTATGTCCCGAAATCTTTTACCCACTTCTAACTTCGAATCGTACTTTTTCGTTTCCATACAAAATTCGGGGAATCTAAAATTATTTTCTTCACCAGAAAAATAATTAGTCTCAAGCTCCTCAGAAGAATGATAATATGGCTCGCCTATATTAGACATATCTGAGTTGGCCTGGGGCCGACACTGAATTTAACCCAGCGATGTGCGCTCCAATGCTGACTTATCAAAGTGAAAACTACCATCGTCAACCTCATTGTCAAAATCCGTGAATTCCCATTCCACATCTGGCACTTCCTCCCCCAGTATGCTGGGATCTAAATTATAATAATCTAAGAGATTTATTTTAATGATGGCTTACAGAAAAAGAATATATAGTCCCCTCAAGTCTATTAATTTGGATAAAATAGAAACAAACATTTGTCCT